TACAAATTGTGTTTGTATATTTATATGTATGTATGTGATGTACTGATGTATTATATAGGAATATATACATATTGTGTTTTAAAGAGAACTTAGAATACAGTCGAAGTTCTGAATAGTTGATGGGAAATTTTAGGTATGTGATAGAAGAAATTTATTCAACAATTTTTAGGAAAATATTTTAACTTTCATTTTTAAAACTTTCTAATCTTACATATTTTCCAAGTTATTCTATTTATTTGTACGTCGAATTTTTAACCCATCAATATTTTTAATGAAATCTCATGCATTCTAGCCACTTACAATAGATATTTTTAAGTTGTTGGTCGTAATTGAATATTAATTAAGTAAATTCTTAAACTTACAGAAAAAAATGTTTCATATTTTCGAATCTAAACGCTTTGCAATATATTATCCCCTTTATTAACGCTTTAAAATGATTTCTTTAAAAGCTTTAATAATTTATTAACCCTTTATGATCTAAAAAAATTTTCGAAGTTTTTTAAATATTAACCATATTTGGGATACAGATCAAGTTCAAGCAATCAAAAACTACTCTAAATAATTAAATCCAAAAAAAGAACTACAAAAACTTTCGAAATTGCACGGATAAAATTACTTAGAGAAGGACGTTAAGCATTAAAATATTAAGAAAATTAGATGAAAATGAGTCCTCTTTCATTTGTTTTGACAGCTGGATAAGCACGTTTATAAAGTCAAACCAATAATAAATTCGTGAAACAGAGCAATAAGCATCCTGAACTTTCTTCTCTAATTTAGTGCAACTAGGGGCCCCTGCGGTTTGCTTATAAGCAGCAAGTAATGGAAATATTTTTAATTTAATAAATTTTAAGATGTAATATGTGTCACTGTTAGTTACATAGATATGATTAAAATTCAATTTAAGAATTAGTTAACAATTAAGAACGAAAAATTTCCTTATAAACAACGTTATCTGTTAAAATATTTCCATCATTTGTTTGTTATCCATTTTTTAAAAAGAAAAGAATTCGCAATTGGAAATAGTACCTTTCACGTTAAACTTTAAAACCAAAGTGAATGTGAATTAATAAAAAATCAATGCCTCTTTTCTTTATACAGACCTGGCTTGGCTACTTACTCAATTGAAATTTCGCAAGCACACGAAGAATAATTGCCTTAGTACGTAACGTAACGTTATTCGTGTTCTTATATCTCTCAATATTTTTAGTTTTATTTTTTTTAATTCCATTCCATGTTAAATACAACAACAAAAAATTATTTTACTCTTACTTAACTCATTTAAAATATTTCGCTTCCTTTTGCTTTTTATTTTTGTTTATGGTAGTAAAGCAAAAAAACAAAAAAATATTACTACTCTTTTTTTATTCTCTTTCGCTTTTCGCTTTTAATTTTTTGTTTTTGTTTTACAGTATGTATAATCAATTGAGTAATGTATCTACCCAGTATTCTCTTTTGCTATTTTCATTTTTTTGTTTTTGTTATTTATTAGATTATATGTATACCTGTTCATGAACTGGAAAAATCTTGTAAAATATAATATAGATTTTATGAAACCACGAGAGAAAGTACTGCAAACAACAATTCCAACTCGGTTCAATTCAAATTATCCAAATTCGACTGTATTATATTATCGTTTCGTTCTTATTTTTGTGTTTCTACTGTAAATTTCAAATTATTTAAAAAAACATTTTTCTTTTTTTTTTGTTGTTGTTAAACGTAAAAGTGTACTCGAGAAAAATGAATAGTTTATAGAGTTTTGTACGTTGTATTGTTGCTTTACAAACATTTTTTTATACTAGCTTCGAATAAAAAAGAAAAAATACACTTAAACCACACTTAAATAAGTTTTCAATTGCATTTGAAAGTGGAAAAAGAAAATATAATATTTTTTTTTTATATTGAAATTACAAATAAAAAAAATTTGTAAATGGATTCGAAAAAAAAAATAATATAATATTTAAAAAATATATGCAAAAACAAAAACCATCCGCATATAAAGGATAAAACCAAAAAAAAAAAATGGAACTGATGGCAAAGAAATTATTTATTAATTTTGATGTACGGAACCAAAACCTTCCTGTACGGAAAATTTGAAAAACAAAATTGTTAGTTTTTTTTCTTCTTTTTGAAATCCACTTTGTTCGTTGAAACATTCTTGGAAAAAAAATTTTTTTATTATTTATCAATTTCCCACTTAAATTTCACATGGTTGGAGATTGAAGATTTTAATAAAATAAAGGATTTGATGGCGAGTTTCTTTAAATTATGCTTGAAAATATTTAAAGTAAATGGTTAAGATTTCTTAGTACAATATAGATATTAAGCTGTGATTGTGGAAAATGAAAATATTTTTAAAAAGGCTTGAATGAATTTTGGAAATTATGGTAAGTTTAATTTTAAAAAACTTAACAACGCTTATATGGTTCTAATATCAATATGGTGAATTTAGAACTAAAATTTGTGATTACAATAACAAGATTTTAAAATATAATATTTTGCAAGTTATAGTTCCTATCGGGCTCTATCATACCGTTGGGGGGCGACAAGAGGGGCATTTGCCCTGAGCCACAATACCTGCGTTCAAATTAACAACTCAGTATTTTGAATAAAATATTTCAATTGTAAAATATGCCTTCAATGAAGAGAATGTTAAATATTTTCATTTCTGTGTAAATCATAATAAAATAAGTCATCATGAAAAAAGCTGAATTACTAAAACCTTTTATCGACAATGTATCAGGGCTGACTAAATGAACTAGCAATTATAAACATTAAACATGAAATACCACGTTCTTTAAATTATTCAGACATAATTATTAAATTTGCTGATATGAAAGCGCGTAAAGCCTTTATTTGATAATTAAAAATCAGCTGCGCCAGGCCTCGCATTTTCTCTGAAAGACCCTGGTTCCCATAATTTTTAACTTTTTATGTTGCTCCGCGGTTTTACGGAAGATATTTTCGTCTTGGACTTTTGTCGCATTTATCCGAAAAAAAAAATTTTTTGAAGCCTCAAAATTTTACTTATAAAAATAAGCAATACGCTTGTGCCATCATTTTTCATTGATTTTGTTACTAAGACAATAATCTTGTTTTAAGTTTGAGAAAAATTTTCTTTAACTTAAAAATAATCTGAAATAGAAATACAGGATTTCTGATATTTTAAATTCATAAAGTAAGTTGAATTATGAATTTGAAAGCTTCATGCTCAAAATTAAATTTAGAACTTTTAAAGTTTAGCAGTTCTAACTTTATTTGAACAATTTAAAACATTGAAGGGCCCTTTCAAGAACCCAAAATTTAATGGCAGTATTTTATACCGCGGCTGTCTTTTCTTTAGGAAACACGGTTATTAGATACTATTTTAACGTAATAGGCATGTTATGTTTTGAATATGTTACTGACATCAAAGAAATCATATTTTTAGGAATACCCTAGGTATACGGGTATTCCTAAAAGCTATAGATTTTAAACAATTTTTTTCAATTTAATTTACTGTTAATAGAAAATCATAGTAGGTGCTAGAAAATAAATAAAACTTCCGGTTTTATTTGTAAGTTTATAAATAAAAAATTTTATTAACTTATTTTGACCTCAATTATTTACAAAAATTTTAAGAGAAAAACAAATTTTAAATGTTTTCACTTCACATAGGGGAAAAATAATAATAGTCTTACCCTAAGCAATTTAACTTCAATTTACCTTAAATTGTAGTAATTATATGGATTCTTTGGAATTAGTGTAGTTCATAAGGAATTACGAGAGAATAAAGTTTCTTGATAATTGCCCCTTGCAAATTATGTACAAAGTAAGGAAATTTCAATTTTTTTTAATTTCAATATTGTTTTGACCAATATATGTAAATATTTTGTAAGGATATTAAATTTAAGTATTCAAGATAATAGATTCTAATGAAATTTTTAAATAAAATAAAAATCATCTCATTTTTCCAAAACATGTCATTTCACCAAAGCAATTGGAATTCCTGACCCATATTTTCGATATATTTTTATATACGGAACCCTAATTTTTTTTTGATTTTTGACCCTCACATTTATACGGCAAACATTCAGCATTCAACAATTTGATTTTCAAAAAATTTGTATAATTTCAATAATAATCATTTTAGAGCTGTGAGATAACAATTTGATTAATTTGATGAAAACTGTAGCTTTAGCTAACACGTTTCGTGGAACTTCTCTAACATAACATGTTTCGTGGAACTTTAGCTAACATAATTTCGTGGAACTGGGCCTGTCTTGTTCGGCTCCCTATACGGTTTCCAAAGGTTATACCCACCCGCTTTCAAAGCAATGAACATTATACAATAAACATTGCACATAGCGCATGGTAATTATGCCCCTGTTTTCCGACGCTAGTTGCATATACTTACTTTGCATATATGGTAGATATGACGTTGGTGGTTAAGTATCTGCATACCTATGTATAAAATTATACGTTAAATCCAGGAACCCTATGTGCATTTAATCGATATACTCTTTAAATTTAAACGCAAAAAGAATTTCTTTCTTGAAGTTCCTTACCATTATAATTTACCTATAAAAAAATTTCAATAAAAATAATCCTTGTAAATTTTGAAAAACTTTATCAGAATAGTTATTATTTTGAGGAAGAAGAATAGCTTAGTTCATCAGATTAAAAATCAATACTCCTCATCTAAAGTATAGAGCTCCTGCAGATATAAAATTATTTAGGGTATCTATTTTTTTTATATAAAACAATTGTGATTAAACTAATTATCTTGAAATTGACTTCAACTTACTGATATTTTCTTGTTGTTATAATATTCGCCATCTCTTTCTTGTTTTAACACATCATTTTTTCAATACAACACATAAATTCAGGGGTATGTGTAAGAATATATGTACATTACCATTCTATGTGTAATTCTACTTTTATTCAATTTAAAAAAAAAAAAAATTTGTAATTGATCTAAATTTTTTATTCCAATTCTTCTTTTTTTTCGTAATTTATTTCAGGTCGATAGCAAGTTTTAATAAAACATCCAGATCAATTCGTGCATGGTCTGATTGTACAGGTGAAAGGGATCATTTGATATTCTATGATGGTAGTTCAACTAATGATCCTGTTTTAGCAAAATATTGTGGAGGTGATTGGCTGCCAAAAGTTGTTTCTCGGTAAGTAAACTTTGAGTAAAATGAAAATGAAACAAAAAAAAAATTGTTTATTTATTTATTAGAATTATCAGTTTTTCTACAATATTCTTCTTGTATCAATTTAAATGAACATACACACAAATATAAGTATTATATTTGTATGTTATTTCATTTTAGGTACATTTGTGTATGTACCGCACGTGAATATTTAAAAAAAGAACAGAAATTGTTAAAGTTTTATATTTACATTGTTGTTTCTTATAAAAATTAAGAGTGCATAAAGGATGCAGGTCATCTATAGTATCCTTAATGTTTTTTTTTCATTTCTCCTTCTTGGCATAGAATTTAAACACGAAATTTAATATTTCAAAAAAAAAAACAGAAATAATAAGAAAAAAATGAAAAAAAATAAATTTTGTTTTTATCGTTCTGAAATTTTCACAAACTTCAATTTAAAAATGTTATAACACCAACAACAAAAATCTAAGGTACACCAACGAATATATTGTTGAGGCTTTAGAAGAATTTTCCCTAAAGTTGCAAGGTATTTTAAATTTTAAGCTCTATTTTACTATAAGGATAATGAGCTTAAAGTGTTATACCAAATATGAGTTTATTTTAAAAGCAGATGGATAACGTAATCAAAGGAACGAATCAAGCAAAAATTTATTAAAAAATTTTGCTCCTCGAACTGGACTCGAACCAGTAACCTACCGCTTTTTAGGCAGACGCTCTAGCAACTAAGCTACAAAGATATGAAGAAATTCCCGACAAATTGTTCTTCACATTACAATCTACATGATTACCAAGTATTGTTCTACTGTTAACACACAAGAACATACAAGTTAAGGCATAGCGCCTATTACACCAAAGATATTACTAATTACCAATATGTGTAGTTGTTTATAATGTTTTTGTTATCAATTCTCATAAGATACCTAATTAAAATTTCCTTATGCAACTGCAGAACACATGAACGACGTCTGAAAAAATGTCTGAATCTTTTCGCGAAACTGAACTACCCAACACAACTTTAGCAATATAATTCAAGTACCATAATATAATTGAAATATTGGTTATTCAATATTTTCATCCTTATCCATGCTTATTATATTCACAACATTAAACTCGAGATTGAAAATCATCAAAAGTTAAATGGAAATTTCCGGTAAAAATTACGTTAATTTATAAATTGTGAAAAAAATGTCGGAGTTGACTAAACTATTCCCTTTTACATTTCATATCGTTAATACAGAACTAGCTGCATTTTTGTTGATCTAAGTGCTGATTCTTTTAGCGACTTCGTAAAATATTAATTTACATGATCATTGATGCTTGGCCTAAGCAACTTGTCTGATATAGAACTATAGACTGTCATAAATATGATAAAAATTGGCAACTCTATTTGAAAATCTATTTGCTCTACTTTTACGTTATACAAAATATTCCTTTAAAAACAAGCACAAAAAAAAAAAAATAAATAAAAAGCTCAGGAAAATTTTCACTGTTTAACTCAATGTTTAAATATTCAAAATCTCTAAGGTATACAGGAAAAAGCAAGCAAATATTCTGAATTCTTAACAGAGATTCTATAAAAAAAAAAATAAAAAAATGAAAATATCAAAAAAAAATTTACCCATTACCTTTGTTGTTGAAGGCTAAAACAACAAAAAATGGTAGGAAAAAAAAACCTAAACTTTTAGTTTGCAGTTCTCAATTTTTTTCTTGGTTGCAGCAAAAAAATACGTTGAAATACGAAAAAAATTCCCCAACCAGTTAAGGTTTATTTTATACTGGGACCAAAAGTTTAAGAGTAATTTGTTAAAGACGAAAAAAAGTAAAATATTTTTAAATCAAACAACACAAAAAAAATTTAAACACAGAAATTTTTTTCACCTATGTATATATGAATGTATGGTATTTAGGTGAATTTTTTATGTTGTAATGCACTAAGGTCAAATCTACTACTTTACAAAAGAAATTTCACTATAATGTTCGCCTATTTATAAAAGAAAAAAAAAATTAGAATGAAATTTTTAAAGCAAAACTTTTTTTGCTTTCATAATTCACCTTTTAAACGAAAAAAGAAAAATATTCGAAAATAAATTTTACTTTACTTTTTATAAAATATTTTTTCTTATTTAATAAATAATTTTGCATGTATAAATAAGAAAATATGAAAGGTAAACAATTTATTGGTTTGGAGCTTTATTTTTCAAAAAAAAACAAATAGAAAATTTTACCATTTACGATTACATTAATAATCGTAAATTATAAGGATTCGGGATTAGAAATTTCAATAGGGAAGCAGAGGGCATTTCTAAGTTTTAAACTTCTTGTGTATTTCTTCTAAAAATTACTTTACTTTTTGCCATACTAGAAATGTAAAAACGAAAATTTGTACTCAAGATTTTAAAATATTTTTCAAAACCAACTTGTTAAAGGAAAAATGAACGAATTTTATTTCCCATAAAACTGAAAAATATTTTCCCACAAGCTTCATATTCTAAGATAGTCACTCTGCCGCATAATTGTTGAAAGAGAGTCACTCTGCCGTATAATTATTGAAAAAAAATCACTCTACCGCATAATTATTGAAAAAATACTATTGGATTGCACCGAGTGTATAGCATTTTTAAGTGAATTGTACAAAATTTTCAACTAATGAAAGTATTTAATACACTCATTCATATTTGGCCTCTAAAATGCCATTAGAATATTTTTGGTTAAAAGCAAATTATACTTTGTACTATAGTTAACAAATATTGATATTTCAAAATTATTTTAAAATTATTCTATTAGAATTAGAATTTTTGTATGATCAGCTTCTATCAATTTCTTTAATTAATAAGAACATTGACCAAATAACTAACTTCCAAACTCCATAAAACTAAATTCAATTCTAACATTTTCAAAAGATTTTAACTTTTTGTTCTAATTTCTTACACAACTAAATTTCCACCCCTATAAATTTTTAAATTTAATAAGAATTGCAAAAAAAAAATTTAACAAACCCTCTCCCTTCTTTATAACCTCATTTTTTTTTCTATCTGGCGACAACAAATTGAAAAACCCGACACCACAAACTATTCATCATTATCTTATATACAAAGTTTATAATTTATTAAAAACTTTCTATTAAAAATGTAAATTGAAAAATGAAATTCTAGATGTTCGATTCAATTACTTTGCTATTATAGAAAAGAAAAAATAATAAAAATAAAAATAATAATTTCATTAACTTTGTGCAAGGTTAAAGGTTTTCAAAAAAAAAACAAAAAAAAAAGAGAAAAAAAACTTGTTATTTATTTTACAATCTGAAAATTAATTGAAGGAATGAAAAAACGAGACAAACTTTAAATTAGTTTTAATGCTGGAATTATAAGAAAAAAAAAATATTATTTTTCTTCTCTTCTCTCTTATTATCATTATTGTTTCAATCCTTTTACTCTCCTTTAATTTCTATTCATTTGTGTATAATATAGAAATGAAAAACTTAAATAAATACGCACAAAAATAATAAGAGTAGAAAAAAAAAGAAAAGTTTTCTATTTATTTATGAATAAGGAAGGAGAGAGTTAGAGGAAAACAATTTCTTATATTTGGGATGGTCGTTGTTTCGTTCTTGCCTATTTTATAATAATTTTTCCTTTATTTTCCTTTTATAATGAAAATTATTTTGTATAAAAGAAAAAATATTATAATTTTTTTTTATTTTTATCTTCTTTTATAAATTCATTTCTTGTAAAAATATGCGAAACTTCTCTATTAATTGAAAATAAAAACTCCAATAAATTGTTATTGTTTTGGAAGACTTTGTGTATTATAAAAATCGTTTCCCGTTGAAATTTAAGTAATATCAGGTTGCGAATTTGATTCTGTATTTCGCATACTAGCTCGCTGAGATAGAACAAAGTAAGTGAGTACATATCGTATGTTTATTCGTTGTATGTATAATTTGCAGCCTCATTGTACACATATCACCTTTTTATTCACCATCAAATTAGAATTCTCACTTTTATATTCTGCACTTTCGTGAAAGATATATTAACTTTGCCATGCAACTCGAAGAGTATATTTTAAATAAAAATTTAAAAACTAATAAAAGTATTACTATCAAATTTTGTAAAAATGTGACAGGTTGCATTTTACATATACTCTGAAAATTTTATTGAAATGGCTACACTGGTTCGGGGAAATTCCATTCGACTTCAAAATCAGATTTTAAATATAAGAAGAAATAACAAAAGTTTAATTAAACTTGATAGTCACGTGTCCAATTATACGTCTACCAGGTTCGAGTTACTGTCACTATGAAAGCTAATTCTTAATTTTTCAAAAATAAGATTTTATACTCTGACTGTCTAAATTTTAGGGTACTAATACTACTCTAAGGTGTAGAATAATATTCAGTCGATCTAGATTGACATTTATTCTAGCACGACTCTCTATTTCTTCTCTCCTGTTAAGGCTTTTATATTAAGATTATGGAATTTCCAACATATTTATGTCCCCTTATTATATACAAGCTTAATTATTAGTTAAAATATTTAAAAAAAAATCTCACACAATACGAGTATAGAATTAATATTTAAGTTTTCTATAAAAAGTTTTATATTCTTAAAGCAATACGTGAGAGCAATTGAATTTTATCCGAAGATCCAGAAAGTGAGATCTATATAATAAGATCACTCAAATATGATTGATCTGTTCGACCTAATTTTGAATTGAAAAAATATGCCGGTTTATAGAATATTGTATTTTGATTTTTTCCGAATTTGAATGTTAAATATTTTCGGAATAGGACTCAATATCATTGAGTCCCAATTTTTTAATTACAAATGTCATAGAGCAAATTAACCTTATTAATAATATTTTCCAAGATTCTTATAGTTGACTTTAATATCCGTATGAAATAAATCATATTCCACTGTTTAGATAAATTTTTTTTTTGTTTTTCTTCAAAAATTCTTTTGATAAAACAAATTAATTTTAATTTTTTTCTTTGTCATTGTATAGTA